TATATATATATATAACACGTGTATATATATTTTGCATACATACATAAATATATGCATATATATTTGCATAAATACATTTATATATGTATAATTTTAAAGTGGGTTCATTGACCAACCCGATCCCAACCCGAGTGCATCAAATTATAGGGTGGGTTGGGAAAATTGGGCTTGACCTCGAGCTCGGGCCTTAAGCCCAAATTTTTGGGTCGGGCCTGGGTTGACCATAAACTTGGCCCAACCTACCCGAGTTGCACCCCTAACTTGTATATTGTTATTTATGGGGAAATGTTCCCAATAAAGTTCAAAATTTCAATGCAATATGCCCCATATTAGGTGTATCGTATCATCTTTTGTTTACTAATATTCCTTTTTCTAATCTTTTCCGATGATTTTCAAAATATCAATACACTCCTTTGTACATATTGTGGTGTATCAATATTTTGAACCTTGGTTTGCAATACACAGCTACAAAGTGTTGGGGTTGGTGTGGATAGCGGTGGCAACGAGTTGAGCTCTTCACGAGCTACTTGAGCTTGGCTCGTGAAAAGCTCGACTCGGTTCGGTTTCAACCGAACTTCGAACCCAATTCATAGGCTTGATTAAAAAACAAGCCGAGCTCAAGCCTAATAGAGCTCGACTCATGAGGCTCGCGAGCCGGTTCGAATAAATAAATAAATAAATATTATAATTCTTAATTTTTAAATATCAAATAAAAATATTTATATGTATAATTTTTTATTTTTATAAAACATTTTTTTTCAAAATCAAGCTCAAGCCGAACCGAGCTTGAATTTGAGTTTTTACCTCAAGCCGAGCTCGAGCCTTGTAATATTCAGCTCGGCTCGGTTCGAATCCACCCCTAGGCATGGATAACATAAATCTAAATATCTCTCTACACAGTCCAAACTCCAAAGATGAGCATATCTAATGTTTTCAGCTATGCAAAAATATAACAGTGCCATATTTAGTTGTTTTTTCGCTAGGGAATAGGGATATGATATTGCCTCTTTTTTCAAAATGAAAAAGAAAAGGATGTAAGGTGCCCCAGTCGTTACCCCGAATTATTAAGTGTTTTAAACTTATAATTTATTTATTGTCTTGTGATCGGGAGAAATGAAAATGACTTATGCTGATTGAGACCTTAGCTTTGATTCAAAGATTCCACTATTAATTCTGATTTTCAGATGAATGTATACGCTTGAAAGTGGCGGTGGGTGGCGCATCCAAATCAACCTATTTCAAATTGGATTGATCGATACATCCCAAGGTTCATAACTAGTCAGAATAATTCAGCAAGTTCTTTACTGGACCCCTTTGGGTTGGATTTGGTCAATCTTGGGGTCGCATCAGGATCCATAATTTCCAGTTGGACCGATCATTTCTTACTCATTCCTCTTCCAATTTGAATGTTAGCTTTAGAGGTAGACATAATTTAAGCTATTCGTAAGTTATTCGAGCTTGGCTCGCTAAAAGTTTAATCTGGTTCAGTCTAAAGCAAATTTCGAGCCGAGTTGAAGTAGTATGAAGTTCTGCTCATGAAATTTGCTACTTTAATCAAACTTGTATAAAATATTTTTTATTTTTTTAGGGTAAATTTCTTAAACTATCCTTATAGTTTAGCTAATTGAAAATTGACTAACACTACCCTTACTGTTTCTGACAATTGACTAATTCTACCCCTGTCATTAACATTCATTAATGCTCCGTCACAATCTATGCACATATGACCCCACGTGACCTATATAATTTTTTTAAAACCCAATATTGCCCTCCCTGAGCCCCCACTCTCTCTCTCTTCTAAGACCTCCCCCTCCCCCTCCGCATCAGGAAGCACATCTTCTTTGATAACAGCTCTTCTAGTGAGAGGAAGTGGTGGATTCAGCCTCAAGGATTCACACATGGCTGCATGGAAATACACCAAATCCTTYAGATCTCTGAATCAAACACCCATGGCTGCTTTTGATCTCTGACAACACCTTCCGCTTCCTTCTTCTTTAACTGCATCAATCCATCCAGGATCTTTTCCTCCACACGAGGGGTTGTGGAAACTGACCAGAGGAACCAAGTGAGAGACGTTCCCATCGAGTCCCGCCTAGCAAACAGGAAGCCCAATGCAGTGTCTCTAAGGAACAGGTCACTATAAGCCTTGCTTTCTCCATTTTGAGCTTGAGAACTCATGTACATAGCTATCAAATCACTTCCCTGCACCCCTTTGTGCAGCTTTTCTCTTTTCAATGAAATGTGCTCTAACAAGTGACGATTTATGATCTTTCGAGCTCTGGCCAGTCTCCCCTCACTCCCGATCCCCAACCAACCCAACAACTTTCACAGCTTCCTGGGCATGATGTGCCTATGGAACACACCTTCCGTCTCGTCGTCGATGGATTTAGTAATCTCATTAGCAGCAGAGCTCAAAGAGAGCAAGTTCGGGTTTCTGTCGAGGACAGCCGTATAGACACCGTCGAATGCAAACCTCATGAACACATCTTCCAAATCTAGGACGTTGCCATGCTTAGCAGCCTGAAGCATCAGGCTCAGGAGTCCATCACCCACCAGCTTCCTGCTCATGCTGACCGTGAAACTCCGGAACTCCTTGGAAGCCAAGACGATGTGTGCTATCTTCTTGTGAGCTCGCCACTCATCGTCGTCCAAAGTGAAGATATCATCTCCGAGCATATGGGATCAGTTTAGTTTCCCTCCTCCTCCTTGTCCGG